CCCCCCATCCCCCAACCCCCACCAGTGCCACCACCCCAGTTGTGTTTTTTTGTGTATTTGTGTGTGGTGTGTGTGTGTGTGTGTGTGTGTGTGTTTATGTGTGTTTGTGTGTGTTATGTGTCTGTGTGTGTGTGTTTATGTGTTTGTGTGTGTTGTGTGTGTTGTGTGTGTTGTGTGTCTGTGTCTGTTTTTTCTTTTTGTTATTTGTTTTTTATGGTTTTGCTTTTTTTTTAAATACACGAAGTTTAAACCACCAGTACCTTCTGAAGCACTCCTCCGGACCTTTTTTTTTTCGAGCTACCGAAGCTCTTTGTTTAGGTAGGAGGCAACTGGTGTAAAGTTGTGACACAGCGGGGGACCAGTCCTCCAACATTGGGCGACCAGAATGTCTACTGAGAGTGTTTTTTTTTTTTCCCCCTTCCCTTCTACTTCTCTTTTYTTTYTTTTTTTTTTTTTATGTGAGGGCATTCCCGAGCATGTGTAATAGGAGGAAAGCAGTGAAAAAAAAAAAAAAAAGGAAACATAGATTTCGCTGCAAAAGCGGTCAGATACATTCTGGAAACCACTAGTGTGAGTATGACCTCAGTGAGGGTCTTTCCTGTGAACGTGGAATGCACTCGTCCATGCTGGCAAGGCACCAAAAAAAAAATAAAAAAAATCGGGCCGTGATGGTGGTCAGATACATTCTGGGCAGTAGTAGTGTGAGTATGCCCTCAGTCCGGCCTTCCCCGACCATAGCCCGCTGCTGAATGTACACAAAAGGTATCTCTGGTTTGATACAGCCGTAATGAGAACTAGCATACAAGTTGGCCCTGAGGATGTTTCTCACGTGCCCGGGAAGTGCGCCTTGTCAGAGTAACCGTTTATTACTCCACCTATAGCATCACGAGAAGAAGACAACAAATACTAGGTCGTGGCTGTCTCTCTTTTTTTTTTTTGGAAACATTTCTTGATTTATGCGGGTCATCCTTGCACAGGACCATACTCATATTCCCTGTATAGAGCCAAGTTCTAAGGGCAGATTCTCTCCCGTATTGCACATTGACAGGAGGGCTGGTGTGTATGGGCCTCCACAAATTTCTGACGAGGTGCGAATAACACGCCTTGTCAGAGGAAAGGTACGTGCAGAACGAAAAAAAATGATGGCGAGTGGCATTTTTGCCTTTTTTTATCCCCTACCTCTCGTCCCTGCACAGGGGTAATCGTCGCTGTATCTATCAATGTTCTAGAGGAAGATTCATTCTCGTTTCTAACACGAGATACAACAACCTTTTTTTTTTTTTTTTTTCACGCACAAAGGATAAACATCTTTTTTTCTTTTTTTGCTTTTCTGTTTTTTTTTTTCTCGTGAGAACTCGTGATATTGTTCATTCGTCGTTCCTTGTCGTTTTCAAAACGAACGACCTCCGCACCTCTGTCGAGGCTCTACCGAGCCTCTACCAACCCTGCCCAGGCCTTCCATGAATTCAGGAAGAGCAACAAGTTTGGCAGGGCGGGGTACTGGTGGTTTAAAAGAAAAACAAAAAAATATTATGTTGTACATCTTTGATAGATCTACAACCCTTTTTTTTTTTTTTTTTTTTTTTTTTTTTTTTTTTTTTTTACCCC